CGAACATATTACATTAAAAGAAAATCATTACCAAATTTGGTCGTGAGATTCAAAATATTGTAACACGAAAATTATTGTTGCACTTCTGAGCATAACTTTCAAATTTAAAAAATCTATGAAAAGAAAATTTGTGACAATTTTTTTTTAGATTAATAGACTCCCCTTTAAAGCTGAATTGAATGGTGGTAAGTTTTTGTTTTTTAAGATCCAATGTGTGGATCACATAATATTTCAAAAATTTTAACTTGAGTGTAGATGATCCGCACTGTAGTAACAAATACTATTTATGGAATGATCAGGAAATGTGACCAAAAATTATTGCATTTTTGATTGGTCTCAAAATTGGCGTTGTGGCGCAGAAAGTTGTAGGACCATAAAATGAGTTTTTTTAAATTTGAACGGCCAATACGAATGTTACACACTTCACTGTCCTCCTTGAAATTCATAAAAATTTATTATGCTACTATATACTTATAATCTTTTAAAGTCATGTGATAATCATTGACTGTTATATATATATTAATATTATAACGTATAACGTTACACGCCACATTCCTAACACTGAAAATTTAATTCCAGAATTTATATACCTCTTTTAACCATTCATTATTAAACCGAGTTTACTCTTTTTTTTTTCTTGCGACTTTCAACAATTTATAAGAACGCGATTTTAAATTTGCATCATTTGAATAGACAATGGCCACTAAAGCTGCATACAAAAGACTAACAAAGGAATATATATCTATACAAAATGTACATGCGATTGACAAGTATTGTCGTTTGTATTAATCTATTTCCTATACTGTATGTATAAAAGTTCTTATACTTTCATCTTTTAAAATTCAAAAAGAATCCAGTGCCATATTTAATAGCTAAACCCTTAGAAAACAATATTTTGGAATGGTAAATATCATTAATTCAAATTTTTTGTCATTATTGTAATAAATTATTTACTATTTTTTATTTTTAAAAAATAGGCATTATGTTATTCGTGGTCCACAAGATACACCTTATCATAATGGAGAATATCATGGTAACTAATTTAAATTAATAGATCTTTTTTCTCTGATGTAAATTTATTTATTTATATATTAATTTGATAAATTATATAAACAAAGGCGTTTTACAATTTCCAGTTGAATATCCTTTTAAGCCGCCTTCAATTCGCATGACAACGCCTTCTGGTAAATCAAAATAAAAAATAATAATTAAAAGAAACTTATAACTTATAATCTATTTATTGTTTATATTAACGATAATATAATAATATTATTATTATTGCTGTTAGGACGATTTCAAACTGATACAAGGCTGTGTTTGTCAATGTCAGATTTTCATCCAAGTTCTTGGAATCCTAGTTGGGGTGTTGCAACCATATTAAATGGATTATTAAGCTTTATGGTTACATAATAATTCTTTTATTATCATCGTCATCATCATTACTTTTCCATATTTGTTATAATAAATATAAATTTATCTATTTAAAATTTTTAATTATATAGACTAGTGATGAAACCACAACAGGTAGTATTAAAACATCAGACATTGATAAAAAAACATATGCTTCAAGGTCGCATCAGTTCAATTTGAAGAATCCAAAATTTAGAGGTAACAATGATGATGATGATGATGACAATATTGACATTGTTAATGCTATTATCATAATAATTAATATATATATATATTTTTGATAAATTATAGAAATATTTTCTGAACTTTGTGTATCAGAAACAGTACCGGTTGAAATTCTATATCCAATTAATAATAGTAATAATTTATCATCATCATCATCATCAACAACATCAACAACATCATCAACAACATCATCATCATCATCAACAACATCATCATCGACACCTAATGTGGCAAATAATAATAATAAATTTGATACTCAATTATTAAAAGAAACAACGACATCTAATAATTTACTCCAAAACAATAATCAAATCAAAAAACGTAGTAAACTATTAAGTCAAAATCTTGGATCAGAAAATGAAAATAATATAAATCAATCAAATAGCAACAACAACAACAATAATAATGTACAAAGGAGTTTATTTGATAAATGGAGAAATTGGATAATAGTAACTTTGGTATGTTTGTACCTAGTGTTATCTAAAATATTGGCTAGGAAATATGAGGCTATTACTTCTAGTGATCATGGAGAAATGTTTCATCCCTAAATACAAATGAATGTTCTATTTTTTTATCCATTTATTATTAAAAGCAAAAAGGAAATTGTATAATAATAATAAGAAAGGTAAAGTTATTTTGTTAATAAAATAATATGATTGATAATATAATGAATTACTATTATTATGATTATGATTCCTTTTCCTTGCTTTTCTTTTTCATTCTATAATATCTTTATTTAAGAATGAAATTAACATTCATATATAATAAATATGTTTAGCTTTACATTGTAACCATAATTTTTATTAATTTATTTAATTACTTACATAGTATAAATAGATTTAGAATTATTTTATAGAAAATCTTGTTTCTTCTATATATACGAACTATTTTATAATATAAAAATTATAAAAGCAATCTTTGTTTATTTACACAAATTAATCAAACAATATAATAATTATTGATGAAATCAATTATTCATTATAATTAATTATCAATTCATTGCTTATTTAATTTATTTTTGGAGAATCCTATAATGTATCCACCAAGTCACACTTAAAATGGATTATTACTTCTTCTGCATAGTTAGTTGTGTTATACTAATACCTGTCGGATAATAATAATATCGTAGATACTTGGATACTATACTGATATCAAATTGGTAAACAGACCAAAAACAATAAATATCCAGATACGATTGAATAATTGGATACTATATTTTGTAAACAGATGATCGATATAACTACTATTGTGAATCACCACCAACCTTCATATTCTTAACGCAGTTAAGATTGTAGTTAAGAATTCTCTTAGAGATTGTAGACGAAATGTGTCTAATATCTGTTCTCTATACATTTATCATTTTGTGCAATGAAGAAGCCCATATACTAATATATTTCATTTTTCCTCCAAGGTTTCCCTTTGGAAAAATTCATCGATCATAATGTATTAATTGGGTAGATCTTGATCGCAGTAAAAATCCAAATCCGACGCACATGAATACAAAAATTTTCACAGAGAAGAAAAAAATTAATTTATTTATATATGAATTAAATATATGATATGGTGCGGTTACATCACGGGTTACTATTTTTTCTGTGGCTTTCCTTTACTGAATTAATGTTCTGGAAATTGTATCATAATAGGATTGCGAATTTTCCCTAAAACCACAAAATGATGATTTGCAAATGAACCAATGAGATCTTGGATCATTTATCACTTTCTTTTTATTTTGTATTATTAAAGTAAAGGCGATCGCGTAAACAAAACTTTGAATAAGAATGACGTATAAATGTATATGTTGTTTATGAAGTTTGTGACCAATTAATTCGTGAGTGATATTAGCGACATTAATATGGCGATAAATTAACTTGTTAAATAATAAGTTAACTACTATAAGAAATAATAACCAAACTCACTGTGATGTCTTTACTTCATAATAAAAAAACTTTTCTAGTTATTCTTGAACTTCAGAATTTATCTTTTCTTTTTGATTAAGATTTCTCCTATCATTACTCATGGTTACTGTATTATCACCAAGTTCTTCTTTAAGACTATTTTCATGACAACGTCGAGAATCTATCCAATTAAGTAAATAATATAGAATTATTATCACAACATCACAAACAAGCACTGATACGTATGTGAATGATGCTAATAGATCAAACGGTGGTGGTCGAAATACTAAAAAAAAAAAAATTATTAGCCAAGCAGAACATTTTTTCTTTACACAAATTTTATTTTACTTCAATGATTACCTAAACTCACAATAGAGAACACAGATCCCAACATGTCAATAGTTAAGAAAATAAGTGAAACACCTCTTACTAATTTAATCCCTATTTTTTATTGAGAAGAAAACTTAATGATATTGTATAATTTAGCGAAAAAACAAAAGCAAATTGTCTTATTGAATATTCACATGACTTACGATAAATTTCTATAAATTGCATCATAAACCCACTGGTTAATAAGACAACAGATAAGATTCCAACTAAAACTTCTGGCCATTTTACATTATGTTTATTGGATTCCTGTATAGATGATGATGAGAAATTAAAACCTCATGTATGTGTGTTTTTTAATATCTCTAATAAGTCAACAAAATGATTTTTACTCTAATTCCAAATATACCAGCAACTTGAATTCCACCTAAAATCAAACTTCCAACAACATAAAACATAACGATTTTCAATTTTCTTCCGATAAATATTTTTGATTGATCATAATACAAACATTGAGCATAACAAAGAAAACTTATCATCAGAAATAATTGTGGTTGAAGTATTAATGGTATTGATAAATCCAACACTACTGCATATATTCCAAACATCAAACCCGATATTGTCTAAGTAAAAAATTTTTAGTATAATGTATATATTATTTTCAATCAATAATTGCTTTATGATATTTACCCATAATAACATCATTAAAGGTGATAAACCTTTATTATTTCATTTATTAGATCTATGTTAATATTTAAAATTCCCAATTACTAGATCATAATAATGAAATCTTACCTTTTGTATTCTTATTATGCCAATTCTTGTATGCTAACATAATAATGACATTTAATATCACAAACATTTGAAATATAGTGATAAATAATCCAATAATAAAAACAAACCCTGAGGTGCTAGTTGAAAAGACCAAAATATAGCTCCTATCAATCCAAATACATTTTCCAAAATAAATGAAGTACTCATGTTTTTTTTTAATTTTTCAATTAATTCACTTATAAATTCACTTGTAAATTTCAAAAATCGTTGTTTTACAATGGGCAAAAAATTTATAATTATTACTGTTACTATGAATATTGTATCACACGGATTAAAATTTAGTCATCACCAATAAAGATGACTCCTCGGTTAATTGCGACTAGTTGCAACTAATTCGACATATAAAGTTGAATTGCGGCTAATCGCGGTTCCCATCTTTAATTACAAGACCATATTAACAGAATTTTTTTAGATTATAATCAATGGTGATCGCTAAAAAAATTAGGTAGAGTCTCGAGTCATCTAAATCCGACCACTATAGCAAATTTTAGAATATCATTTCTAATTCAGGAAATAAAATTCTGAAATAGAGAATGATACTCTCCTAAAAAAATTGAAGATCATCCCTTAATAGTTAATGATAGAAAGTTACTAATATTCAAACCACCATCTTTTTAAGTAATAAATATTTTACATCAAACTTTTCATAGAATTTAAAACTATGAAGAGTTTGAGTCCAAAAGTGCTGTGTGTCCATGTTATGACTTCAAAAATATTGAATAAAATTGGTCGGTTTTAGATGACTTGAGCTATACCCGTCTATTTGTATACTTTTGGGAGTATGAGTTTGTTTGTATGCAAATAGACAGAGTACGTTATCACGTGTTTATCCAATGTATAGTTAATAAAATATTAAATTTATTCTCACAATATTATCATCTCAAATTTGTTTAAAAAAGCAAAGTGATCCGAAAAAATTATTACATATTTCGTTTTTACATGTATTTCATAAAATTTGTTCATAATCCCTAAAATATTAACCAATATATTTCAGCGACAAAAACGTAAATGAAAAAAGCTTTTCAGAATTGGGTTGGATCTGTTGGCTCTATGAAAATAGGTTAGGGTTTCTATTCGAATAAATCAAACAATTTGAGTAAAATGGATACACAGTGAGTCTCGGTTTAACAGACATGTTGGTTCCAGGAAATTTATCCGCTAAACCGAGAAGCGAAACATGATCAAATCACGTGTTATAAATTAAATACGTACAAATTTAATATATAAAAAAAATATAACGATAATATTAATATATTGTTGACTCATAAATTCTTAATTCGACATTGTTTTGCTCCTTGGGTACTTCTATAAGAAATTTCTCTTTTTAACTTCAATACATTTTTAATCATTGAGAATCAACTTCTAAATCTTTTTGTTGTATACATTTAAGTGCATTTTTCAAACCATTTATAGCTTCTGTACTTGTTACAATCGGTTCACTTTATCTTCTCAGCATCCTCATTATCTTCAACTTCGGGTTGTTCCAACACAATATTTACAATTTCTTGTTCCGTCATTTCTTCAAGATTTTGATCAATCATAATAAATTTGTCAGCATTTATTAATTATTAAAAATACATTACGTTATTACGCGCATAAAATTAGGCTATCCAAAAAAGGCAAGAATCATTGCTATCCGCAATATCGAGAAATTTTTATTTGTAAGTGACATATTAATAATATATGGATTTTTTAAAAAATATCAAGGTATAAGGTTCCCAGACCAAAATTGAGTTGAAATCGAAATATCACTCACTTTGTATCAGAAACATACATGTAAGGATTTTGTTGCAGACTTCTCCAAATTTGTAATTTGGCCAATAAAGGCAATGAGACTCCTTCTATTAGTAAGATCTTCATGATTTTTCAATCCTTTTTAGACCCCAGAGATGATGATGGTATATACTGTACATATTTTATTGCCTGAAATAATTATAGAATCACCACAAAAATTTACCCATGATATTCGATTTTGAAGGCCATTCATTTATAAGTTTATTCGGGAAATGTCCAGCCAATCCAAGGATCTACAACAAGGGTTAACCTTGCCATCTGAGACGTCGATCCTAAGGTTAAACCTCTTACCAGTAAACCATGACCCAATCTATTAAAATTGGGTTACACATAGCCGCCCAACCACCCAGACACCCCTGTTAAAAGGTTGAATTTCATGTTCGAGAATGTAGATCTTTGGTTTGGGTGGTTATTTACGACACTTTTCTATTAATTGAATGTTGACCAAATTATAATCATCAATTCAAAAGAATATAATGATGTCAATAACTCATTTTGGGGGTTTTGAGCTCGAAGTACCTTTTTGTTAGGATGGAACCCAGATAATAATATCCCATTGGAAATTGTTGCTTTACTGACTTTAAATAACATGAAAAAATTATCGGAATCATTCATGATATCACTTAATGATATTAATCAGCAAATAAAAAATATAGTTTAAATGATCAAGACTTTTTTAAATATGAATACTTGTCTGACATATTGATGATATTGAGATAATTTGTAAAAATTAAACATTATCGTTCTTTTTTTCTTTTATATTTATTAATTAATATCAATAATGATTATTTCAGCTTCTAAAGATGCAAAGAATGAAATGGAATAAAGAAATTAATAATAATAATATATATATAAAAAAAATAAATCAATTCTTAAAGGTATTTATTAATAATAATATCATATCTAATTTCAAATTGTAATAATAAATACTTTTTAAGATTTATATCAATAATTAACGTATATATGATAATTATTATTTCTCTCTTAAATAATAATCAGGAGTGGCTATTTAAATTGACAATTTGGGATCTATTTTTTTTATTAAAAATAAAACAATCTTAAATTAATTAATTGAAAAATCTGTTGATACGCTCAAATAAAAACCAACCTGTATTGATTTATGTTATCCTTGGTCAATATAACAAGTTCACGTTTTTTTAAAGGTTTTTTGGTTAAAGGACAAATATTTTTCTTTGGTCCTGTAGAAAGACATTTTACCCAACTATCATATCTAAACAACCCCCGCCCCCATATTAAATAAATAAAAATTGCGGAAAATTTTTTAATTATAATAGTCTTAATTATAACTTTTTATTACCCCATCACATGCCCATAAGGAGAGATTGCAGGACGTTTAACTACTTCAAATGAAATTGTATCAATAAAACCTGGCAATGGATTTTCATCATCGTCATTTTGTTCAATAACATCTACATCATCGGTTCCTGCTACACCTTGCATTAGGTCTTGTTGTTGTGATTTTACTCTTTTTTTTTTTTTATTACTACCATTCCATGATTTCAAAACAAAATTACCAGATTTATCATTATCTTTCTCCTTGTCCACATCATCTTCTTCATTATCATCATTTTTAATAGGATTTCTCTTTCGTTTTTTTCCGTTTGTAGTAGTAGATGAAGTGATGGCAAATGATTTTGTTGATTTTTCTCGTTTAGGACAAACATGGCTTTCAGGAATATTACTAGTTTTACTTTTTTTAACACGACTTTCATGTTTTGAATGTTTTCTAATCATTTCTTCCTTTTCGGTTGTTCGTTTATTCATAGATTTAAACAAATATTGTGCCTTACCATTTTTGCCAATTACATAATTTGGATCTTTAATTCTTCCAGATTCAATTAAATATCGATAAAAATTGGAACACTGGTAATGAATAGTAATAATAATTTTTTAATTTTTTAATAAAAATAAAAAAAAAAAATAAGTTATTGAACTTACTTGATAACCAACACGACCAGGAATTGCCATTGAAAATATTCCCCATTGACATTCATTACCTAATTCTGCCAATCTATTAAAGAATAATATTTCCTCTTCCTACAATATATATATGTATTATCAAATAAGTTCAAATAATAATAATAATAATTTTATTAATTAATTACCTCAACCCATCTTCCTAATCTTTGTTCTTCGCCGGGTGCATTGAACCGATAATAATATGCATTCGGATTTTTGTCAATTAATTTATAAGCTCTAACACGAGCTTCTGACCATCCTTGAAATGCCTTATTAAAATTTCTATTATTTTTTTCAACTTGTTTCACTGCCTCATCCAATGTAAGACGACCTTTCATTCTTGAGTGTCTATATACATAAATATGTATGTATTTAAAAATTACTATTCTGCTGCCTTTTTTTTAAAAAAAAGAATCATCATAGTTATATATACATCGTTGTATTTACTTATAATGACTTGAAGAATCTCTAGTTGTCTTTGTGGATTTTTTTCGTTGCCTTTTTGGTGTCATGATTTTGTCATCATCGTCATCAGTTTGCATTTCTTCCGCTGGTCCTTTTTGAGATGATAATAATGGTAAACTTTTATGAACTACTGTTGATTTTTCTAGATAAATGAATGTTTTGATTATTGGATTGAATGGTTGAATTATTGAGCGAATGAATAATTTGATTGATTGTTGCTTGCTTACCATCTTCTTTATTATGCTTGAATACGATTTTTCTACGTAATTCTTTAAAATAATCACTATTATGCTTAAACATTTTTTCAATTACTAACATCTATTGTTTTTATTTTTATTATATTAATATTTATTAGAAACAGAAAATCAAAAAAGTTAATTTTTTCCTGGAAAAATAGATACCTCATCACCGTTACAATCTTCTAATGCTTCGGCAATTTCTTCGTCTGTAGAAAACCAAAATTCAGAACAAATAAATTTGGCCTTTCGTTGAAATTCACGTTTTTCAAATTCTGCAAACTATTATTATTATTATTATTATTATTATTATTATTATTATTACTACTACAACAACAAAGATTTTGATTGATTGATATATATATATATATGCGTATGTGGACGTGTGCTATTACCTGTTGTTGTTGTAATGTTATATGTTGTTCAATTATATCTTGATCAATTTCAGCAAATAAATTTGATTTTCGAATATGTTCACTTTTTTTTAATGTATATATAAATACATGGTGTAAATATATTTGATTAATAAATACAAGCTATATATATATTAAGTAAGAAAGTGAATAAATTTTTATCATCACAGCATGCACATACCTTTCTTTTAAATTTATCCGAGTGTTATTGTTATTATTAATATCATTATCATCGTTAATTGAATCATCAGTTATTAATTTATTATTATTTGTTTTATTGGATTCTAATAATGATTTAAGTTTTTTCTATGATTATAGGAAAAGAAGTATATAAATCATTATTATTGTCCATTATCAATTATTGTATATGATAGAAAAAAAAATAATCTAACCGCAACATCTGAAAGTTTTATTGTAGGTGGTGGAATTGATAAAAGCCAATGAATACATAATGGTGACTTTTCTAATGGATAATAATCTTTAAATACGTGTAATGCATATATATAATGCATCAATTAATTAAATTTATTTGTTTATATAATTTGAAAAGTAATATATAAACCATATTTTTTCCTCTTACCTTCGGGAAAAAACTTGGTCATTTAGTACAAAAAAAGTTTACACAAAAGTGTTAAGTTATAGTTATAAAAAAAAATAAAGTTGTTTTTGTTGGAAAAAAAGCAGATTTATGGTTTAATAAAATGACGTAAAAAAAAGAGATCAGGAATAGAATAATTTTATCTGTATTACACACGCACACACATGACACAGTTTTGTGCACAATTCAAAATTTCAAAATTTTTATTGATTTTTTTCATCATCATTAATTAATAAATCATAAATCATAATTATTTTCTAATTCAAATTTTTTTTTCCTATATTACTGATTGCTATCACCGATACAATCATCATCATTCTAATACCATTGTTATCAATATTCCTATTTAATATGTAGCCAACTACTACACTTATACTCACTATTCAAAAAAAGTAATAAATAGTATTATGATTATTATTATAAGAATTAACACAATCAAGATTTAATAATTTGATTACTAAAAAACCTCTTAAAGAAAAGAATATAAATATATATTTATATATATTTATATAGATTATTATTATATATACATATCATATTTCATTTATATTATATTATATATATATATATGTATATATATACATATAATTATTTTTAGCTTCTTTTCCTTCTCTTATATTCCATTGACGATCCATCACTATTATCTGGCGGATCAGGTAATGGCGGAGGACGTGTTTGTGAAGACGGTAATGAAGATGATGACTTATTTATTATCCCTACCGAGGAAGGAGGATTATTGTTAACGTCTGATGATGATGTCGATGATGATTTATTAATAGTGTAAGATGAAGGTGACGGAGAAGTTGATGACCTTGTTGGAGGAGTTCTTTGATGATGATGGTGATGATGCTGATGCTGGTGATGTGATGATGGCGAAGATATCGAGATTGTATTATTATTGTTGTTATTATTAACTTTATATCTATTAGTAGGTTCAGAATTTAATAGATTATAATTTGGACCAAAACTTGGTTGTGATGATCTTCTATGAGGTGAAGGCAATGATGAATGATGAAGATCATGAGAGGAACGATGTGGTTGGGTGGAATTGTACGATGACGTTGACGACGATGTTGATGATATAATAGGTCTGTTATTATTGTAAGTGTCCATTGAAGCAGACCTAGCATTTGTACCACTGTCACTACCGTTATTATTATTATTGTTTTTTTTTTGATTTAATATTGGTTCGGGAGAACGATGACGAATAATCGGAAGGTTCCCAGAGGTGGAGGAAGTAGGTTGAAACGGTGAAGGAGCAAAAGGAAATTCGGGCAATTTAGCTAAAGCACTTGGAGGATTAATTTTTGGAGTGCGACCGTGTTGAGATGGGTATGGTGATGAGGAGGATGAAGATTGTTGTTGCTGTTGTTGAGTCATACGATAATCCATTTCTGAAGGTTGTTGTTGTGATGGCGGTGGAGGCGCTGCAGATTCTACACCGATCATAGGTTGAGGAGTTGATAATGTTCTTTGTGGCGTGTAAGGATGTGTATAATGTGGTATCATTGAAGAAGAATGAGATGGAGGATCAACTTGAGCTAACTTTGCAACTTCAGCTTGTAAAAAATCAACTATAATTATTAAATATTATTGTAATTGAATGTCAATAATTATATTAGTGTATTGATTTATACAACATATAGATATAAAATATACCTTCAAATTTTCTACGTGGATCATCTAAACAAAAAATATAATTATTTAGTTAATAAATAATACCGATAATAATATATGATTAATGATGATATACAGTCATACCTTCTTTAGCCATTGATACTAGCAAATTCGTTATTATTGTAATAACCTTTATTTAAAAATTATTATTAAATAATTATTATCTTCCGGGTTAACTAGTTAACAAACTAGATGATTTGATTTAATAATTTAACAACTAAATAATTAATTACCTGTTGATGTTTACTTTGTAACATTCTAAAAGATAAAGATTCGTCATATAAAACTTTATAATTTTCGGTTATCTGTCTTGTTTTTTCCTTCAATTCCTTCATCTGATTAGTTAAATATTCAATTCTATCATCACGTAAACTATCTATTACAGATGGATCATTCATACCACCGCCACCAGTGGATTGATTTATACCAGAAGTTGGTAAACCGCCACTTCCACCACCGATCCCAACAATACCACCAGTTACGCCGCCACTGCCACCCACACCACCACCTTTCATATTCATTGTATTACTTGTAGAGTGTTTTGAACTTTTACGTTTAATTAATTGTAAGGCTGCTGGTTGGCCTCTACGAAAATCTTGATGCTTAAATTCCCATGCTTGACTTTCACTTGATGGATTTGCGTGAAACATATCATTTACTTTTAATTAAAATTTAAAATAGAATAAGTTAGGATAATATTTTATACATGTAATCTAGATCAAATAAATATAGACCAATCTACCTTTATGAAATCCATACACTTGATAATTTTTATTTAAAAAAAAGGAATTACAAAATTAATTAAATTCATACGCGAAATATGTTGATCGATTGATTAATTGATCGATCTATGAGGAATTAAGGAGTACACATACTATTCAATTGCCTTACAAAACTCTGCCAATTATTATGTTTAAAATATTGAGGTAACACTAATTTTGAAAATTCTGTTGGATTGGACACACTAAACACATCACCAGAAGGTGCCCATGAAATTAAATGTTGAATTGATGGATCTTCTACCATTCTAAATAAAATAAATATCAATGATTATAATGATTTATTATTATTATTATTATTATTATTATTAATCACGTTAAAAAAGAAAAAAATCGCGTAAATTAAAGAATCTACAGTTGAGGATCTTTAATTTATAATCATCAAGAGAACAAATAAAATACTTGCGTATAAAGCTTATTAACAAAAGCAGCTTGAGTTTTTTGAGCACCCACTATAGTAGTTGTAGTAGGAGTATTAATAGATGCAGTAGTCAATGTAGCGGATGATGATATTGAATTTGATGAATTAATAATGTTAATGCTAGTGTTAGCAACGGTAGCTGGTATTATTGATGTGGAAGAATTTGTATTATTCTTTGTAATTGATGTAGAAGTAGCTTTTGTATTATTTGATGACGCCGAAGATTTTGTATTTAGTGAGATTGTTGAAATGTTTGGAGGAGAATTGGTTGGAGAGACAGCGGAAGATAGTTGTGGATCTTGATATGGAGAAGAGACAAGAGGGGGAGGAGAAGCTACTATTGATTTGATGTATATGATAAAAAAGTAGTTGTCAATTAATGATTAATCTGAATAATAATAATTGTAATAATAATAATTACCTGAAAGTTCAGATTGTAATATACTTTGTTGCATTGGGTACTCTCTCGAAGTTGTTGTTGTTGCATTATTATTATTTGAATCTATTTGAGAGGAGTTGTCAATATTGATGTTATTATCACTTTCAGTTTCTTTTTCTTTTTTAATGCTCTTAATATCATTATTGTTGTTTTGGTTGTCCATAGTTAAAATGAATATCACAAGCCAGGCTGGCAAAGAAAAGCCAAATAAGGCTACTTTATTATTAAAGTACTATTTTATTATTAAGCTATTTTTTAAAGATGAAATTAAAGAAGAAAAAGAAAAATCAATAATTATTTAATTATTTTTTTTATTTATTTTAAAGGAAAGGAAGAAGAAGCAAAAAAATTTTTTTTTGTTTATTGTTATTTTTTAGGAAAAAATAATTTTAAAATAATATTATAAATAATTATTTATTATATAAGATGGAAAAAAATCTAAAAGTCCAAAATATCTTATTTATATTTATACTATTATACTGTTTATACTGACTGTTATTTTTATTTTTATTATTTGTAATATTTATATATTTTTAATTTAGTAAAAAATAAAAATAATCACCTAATGTTTTTTTTAAAAAAATATTAAACAAAGGTGTTGTGGAATAAGTGTGTTAAACGGGAATTTTTTATATATAATGGGTGTATATGTGCATGTGTGCTTTTAATGTGTTAACGTGTGGATATTTTTTGAGCTGTTAGTAATAACAATAAATATTGTGAAAGATATAATGTTTTTGATTATTTGAAATTTTTTTGGAAATTGAAATTTTTTTTTTTGTGGAATGTTGTATGTGATAAATTCAAAATTTGGAATTGGAAGATGCGAGTATGTGTGATGATGACGGGATTAATTTTATATATCTATTATTATTATTTATAATAACGTGTTCATTTATATAAATAGAGAATTTTTATTTTCCATTTTTTGTTCCAGATTTTATTTTTTGAAGAAAGAAAAATCAATAAATCTTAAAACATGTTCATTATATATTTTTTCATATATTTATGTATATAAATATGGTATAAATCTATATTACTATTAAGTATTACAAAAATTATTACACATCCACATTACATACAGTTATATTTAAAATGAGGAAAAGAAAATTCTCTTTTCGAAGCAAAAACAAATGTTTAGAATATGAATTAAATAAACGTATAAAATTACGCGATAATTCTGTATACAAATATTATATTATCCAATTAAAATTAAAATTATATTTTCATTCAAGTATGAATAAATAATTATGAATGGGTGAATGGACAAGTGGAATGTTGGATTAGATGTTTGATTGGATGAAGGTATTGTTGTCTAGTGAATTGATTCAATCAATTCCATGGTTTGATTAAATAAATACGATATGTGATAATATAAATGTGATAATATGATAGGTGATAACAAATATGTTTTATGTGATATTTATAATATGTAATGTTTATGGTGGGCGTAGAAGAAATGAATTAATAGATGCGTGAAAAAAAATTTAATGTGTGTATGTTTTGAGTGTGTGCATATGATGAACTTTTCTCTTTCTCCTTATTTACCTCGTGGTGAATGTTTTATTTTATTTATTCTTTATTCTTTATTCTTTCCTAATAAATTGCCAAGAAATACTTTAAACAGTAAGAATTACAATAATGTAATATAAGTAAATAATGCAGTATGATGATAGAAATTTGTCGAACAGTTTTTTTAACAAGTGTACGACAACGAATCATCCTCATGGTTACGCTAACGTGTGACGATGCTTTAGGATGGGATGTTTACAAATTTTTATTTTAAGCCTGGTCTCTTTTTTTTTTTTGCACAAAATCAAAATATTTATTATAATATTGAAAAATTCAACCAGTTAATTAACAAGTTTTACAAATAAAGAAAATCAAAGAAAAAAGAATAATCTTTTTTTGATCAATTCATTATTTTGAATGAAAATTTTTTTATTAATTTAATATAAATGTGTTTTCTTTCTCTCACTCACACACACAAAAAATTATATTCGGGCAGTACCGTAACATAAATCTTTTAGAGAGAGGCATTTCACATATTATGAGTTGTATGGTATTTTTACGCGATTTTTATTATAGAATTTAATTGACTGTTTAATTAATAAGCAGTATATTTAGAAATTAACGTTGATACATATTAAAAAATCCACACATATTTAGTAATAAATTATACGTAAGTCTTTTTCTATTTGCAATTATAATAGTTAAAATAGCAAAGGGTACATTATTGATATAAATTGAATGAATGAATAGCAACAGATAATTTAGATTGGATGAATGAATTTAGTGGGTTTAACGGTTTAAATGAATGAACAATTTATTTACTCTTATTATATATTCATAGAAAGTAAATGTTAGAATGAGAATAAGTGTTGATACATTGTAGATTAAAATTTTTTGCAAATTCCAAATTTGGTAAAGATCGTTCTTTTTTAAATAAATACGTATCATTTTATATATAGATAAATACTAGAATTTATTTGCAAATTCTGCAGGATTACATCATTTTTAAAGTGTAAATGTCAAATACGAACCTAATTACTTTTTTTTTCAACAATGAATGATTCAGTAACCATTGATTCATTCGGCTTATTCCCTAAAAATTTTAAGTCATTATAACAAATAAATTTTCTCATCTAACTTTTCGTATATTTTTTATTACGTTATCAACGGCAACAATAAAAGAATTTTCCCGATTGCTTATCACGTGTTGTTTATGTGTTAACGGTAGTACATATGATACACAGACATCAAAACGCACAACAAACCGTTTTAAATCTCATTATTTTTACAAATTCAAACATCATTATTAATATAAATAAAGTTATCCTATTAAAGCATCATTTCTCTTATTGAATGAATATCCATCTATCTAAAGCTATTCGGCAGTTGACCGCCAAATTACATATAAGCTTTACCCAATTCAATCCCAAGAGTATCGCTTCCTAATATGAAATTTATCTTTGAGGTTTAATTTATTGATCCATAAATAAAAATTCTGTCTTGTCTTTTGTAAAATATTCTTTAAAAGTTGGTTTTCACGTTGCCGATTATTAAATTGATCAATATGCAAAACTTACGAAGATCATTACTAAAATGAATATTATGAGTATATGGTGCAAGTCCCAACTTACTGCGTAAATTTATTAGTCATGTGATATTTCCTATTCATTCCGTTTACTTCATTTACAATCACTTTGTCAACAGTTCATTTCGTCGACAAACATTTCACTGGTAGTTAGTTTACATGTGATGGTGACGATATTGCCACAGGCTATTTTGGTAATTATAATAATAATTGATGATAATTATTGTTTTTAATGAACAGTAAGTATTGAGATTTCGTTTGAATCAAAACTCAGGAAATATATATTTTTCTAATGATTATTGTTTTCAAGATGCACGAAATTCAGTCATTAATATGCTTGCAAACTATTAGTATCCAAATTTTCTTTTTATCTAAATTTCCTGATGCTTCTAAAATCATGATTCCTAAATTCAATCAGGATTAAAAACTAAACAAATTATATTAATAATTATAATCAATGCGTATGTTGCGCTAAAATCATATGAGCTGTCGACGAAATGAACTGTCGACGAAATGAACTGTCGACGAAATGTGTGTCGATGAAATGTGTCAGACCATAGGGATTATAGTGGTGAAATTTAGACCATGTTTACCTAGTACAATAATGAGATACAAGGCTTGAAATATTTACTTTACATATCAAAACCATACGTGTAACTATTTTTTTGTTTTGATAACAATTTAATAGTCCCAGACCAAATCATAATTGATGTTGTTATATGAAAAGTGGGTAAAAATAAAAAAGGTCATATCTAAAAAGGGGTAAAATTTTTTTCGGAATAAATTTATTAATTGGTGGTCCGCCGATCAACGATAGAAATTTGTTATGCAGGTCTGAGATATCAAACTTATTATATAATAATAAATTATTTTTTAATAATGACCATTATAGACTTTTGATTTACATTATATTGCCAATTTGCATCGGAAAAACCTTTTCTAAATAGTAAAAAGTATTACTGTATATTGTAAAAAGTTACGTGAATAGAAGTTTGTGGATGAAGTTTAGTTGCTTTTGCTTTTGATAACTTTTGTAGAAAATTTTTTACCCATGTTAAGTAAAGATCTAGCATATTGACCTTCTGTCAACCATTGGATATATTAGCTATTGTATTTATTTTCCCTTATTAGCCCAATAAAAAAAACTTATTTCAAAGAAATAATTTTGTTAATAAATAATTTCTATAGACAATTTGAAAAGGGATGGAGGCGGAACAAAATTTTCTAAAAAATAATTAACATTTTGCAAGGTTTTTTTTCATACAGGTAATGAATGCTATACAAAGTTAGATAACTTGTTATTCTGCAGCATGCAAGATTGAATTAATAACAACGAATAATTCGTAATAAGTTTTTTTTTAATTTAAAATAATAAAATTCATTATTTATTCATAAAAATAGTTGAGAATTACTATTAAAACTATTACATTTTTTTCTTGTAATGTTGCAATTCTATTAATTTTTTTCATAAAATTCATATATGTATTTTGCGTGGAATCCACAGCTCCCCAAGAGCAAACTATTTATTTTAATATAAGAAAAGAGAAAATATATTTAACGTTTTATTACTATCAATTATTCAATAATTATATAGGCGGGTTTGATAGAAGTAAGTATTAAAGTAGTGGAGATCTATGAAACTTGCAAAACGAATGTTATCAATTATTCAATAATTATATAGGTGGGTTTGATTGAAGTAAGTATTAAAGTTGAGATCTAAAAGGCTGTTTATAAATATATTTAATCAACGTTTTATTATTGTTAATTATTTAATATTATATAGGCGAAATAAGTATTAGTCAAGATCTATGAAGTTTGCAAAACGAATGTTTTATCAATCATTCAATAATATTAATATAGGCAAATATGTTACAAATTCCGTACCTTTCCGTACCTTATATGCGGGTTCAAAGCATACCTTTTCAGTATGTTGCAAATTCCGTACCCTATTCCGTACCTTATAGACGGGACCAAAAAGTACCTTTTCAGTATTAGTATTAGTATGTTGCAATTCTGTACCTATTCCGTACCTTATACGCGGAATCAAAAACGTACCTTTTCAGTATGTTATAAATTCCGTACTTATATACGGAATTAAAAAGTATATATTACAAATTCCGTACCTTATATGCGGAATCAAAACATACCTTTTCAGTATTATTATTATTATTATTATTATAATTTTCTTAATTCCGTACATTTTCCGTATACATCCATAAATTGCATTACATTGATAAATTTCAAAACGTAGATTAAATACGTCCATTCCGTATCTAAAAATTTATTCTGTATCAAATATAGGGAAATTCTTACACATTCCGTATGTTTATTTTCTATAGGGCATAAAAATCAGATTAATATCAATGTAGAATCTATTATTAATAGACTTACAAGTGAAAAAGATTTTCCAATAAAAGATGATCCTGAAGATGAAATCCAACCATTAGAAATTGATGAACCTGAGGAATTACAAATAGTATTTAATCTCCAAGCTGAGATTGAGTTTAATACAGCACTTCAGGAGTTCCTAAGGGATTAGAATTCATATAATAAAAAATTTTTTCTTTATATTATTATTTTTTATTGTTACATGTATAAATTTAGAAGTTCTTTAGAACAACTAACTACCTTTTGAGATCCTTTCATGTAATTAATATAACATCTATGTACAATAATAAAAAATTGTATTTGGTGTGTATATATATATTATGCCTTGTAACTAACCAAATAAATAAGAAAAATATTAATATATATATATGTGCATGTATAAATTTAGAGTTTTTTAGAACAACTACCTTTTGAAATCCTTTCATGTAATTAACAAATCATATAACATCTATGTACAGTAATAAAAAAACTGTAGTCAGTGTATATATATTATATGTCTTGTAATTAAATCAAATATATATGTATGTATGTATGTATGTATGTATGTATAAATTTAAAGGTTTTTAGAACAACTAGCTTTTGAAATCCTTTTGTGCAATTAACAAATTATATAACATCTGTGTACAGTAATAAAAAAATTGTAGTCAGTATATATATTATATGTCTTGTAATTAAATCAAAAGAATAAAATAAAAAATAAAAAAAAACAATAATATAATATATAATATATATATTTTTGCATGCATAAATTTAAACAACTAACTACCTTTCATGTAATCAACAAATCACATAATATCTACAGTTCACTCTTTCTATAATGAACACTAAATAAAATCTCTGATTCATTTTTTTGTAATTAACTTCTCTCTCTATAACAAAACTTCCCTTTTCATTTTTATAATTAATTTTTCTTTGTAATGAACATCTTAGTAAACACTCTATAACAAACAATCAATAATTAAAAACATTATATGTTTGTAATTGTATATTTTTATTTTTTTCAAAATAAAAAAATAAAATTTTTGCACACTTTGATAAATTTATATATAAAATTTGAAATCTTTGGTTCATAACAAGATCTTGCAGTTTGCATGGTTAATGGGATCATTTTTAACCAAAATAAAGTTTCCAACGAAAGGTATATTATTGCAAAATATTTTTTGGGTTTTACAATTATTTTTGGTCATGTTATTATGACCAGGTTTTTTTCTATTTTAAATAATTGAATTCGAACAGTCACATTATAAAAAAGATTGCCAATCAATTTTGTCACATGTGACAAATTCAAATGTCTGCCATGCTTGCATGTCCACGAGAATTTGGCCACTAAATCATTACTAAATTAGACAAAATTATTGCTAAATTTAGACTAGCTCACGACTACCATATCTAAATTTGGAAGTAAGAAATAATTTTAAAAATAAAATCATGTGAAGTCCTATTTTTTAAAAATTTTTATTGCGAATTACAAAATTGCCAACCATATAATATTTTCCTTTTTTTTAATTGTTTAGTGATCAGCGACCAAAAAATTCATCCAAGTTGAACTTTGTGTTACCTACACTCTACCCTCAAATACTTTGAAATGATGATTTAATGAATTATGAGTATGTAATTTAAAACATGATTCTAAACCACCAGCAACTATACTTGGATTTCCGTAACAAACTTTTCCAATACATGAACATAAAAGTGCCATTGAACACAATAATAAATATTGTAATCATTATAGTCATTATATTATTGTTTATTGTTGTATGCAATTACTTACATTTATACAAGGTTCATGGGTAACAAATAAGTCATACCTTTACATAAATATGCTACTACATCATTTGTCAATTTCCCTGGCTTTCATCATTATCACCATCATCATTAATTTTTTCATTCACTAATCTTTTTTCTGACTTCTTCTCTTCAACATTATAAACACCATCAACGTCAACAACATCAACAACATCAACAACATCAACATCAAAATCAGTAATCTGTATTATTAGTTGCTGATCACCATCATCAATTTTTCTTTTTAATGAGTTTTGGTGCCCATAATCATGCTGAGTTGTAAATGTATTACAACTTTCTACAGATGTAACAACATCTAAACATTTAATAATTGCATGTTTAAGTGGATGTCTTGTAGTTGCTCTTGAATCATAACATTCTGCTAATACTCTTAAACCTTTTGGATCTACTATTACACAACCAATTGGAATCTTTAAAATTAGGGAAATGATTAATTGATTGATTGGAGTTATTTATGCACACAAAAATACTGTAATATCAATGTATTCAAATATCAACACACCTCTTGATTTGATTTAGCTATTTTAGCTAGTTCGATAGCTCTTTGCATATATCCTTTTAGCTATTTTATATCTTTATTTTCTACTATATTTGTTATTATGAACATAAATAGGTTAAGTTTATAAATTTTTGTAAGAAATATACATCGTAATTATAAAATAAATAACAAACATCTCCTTCACTCCTTCTTGCTTCCCTTTCCCTCTTTCCCATATACTCACTTTTTATCATTCTCATGGTAATTGATTTGATTGGCCATAATTGTCTTCACTCATAAATTGAGATTTAATTATAGCAGGATATTTTGGAACTTGTTCAATTCTAGGAATTAATATTGAATCAAAATTATGTTTCTTGATCAATAGCAATAAATCATCAATTGATGGTGTGTCTTTAACTAAACATATCAATGCTGCTAATATATATTTATTATGATCCCCATCTTAGGGTTTATCTCTTATTTCAATGTTAGTGATTATGTGTGGTAGGTAGGTACCTTATTTACTCTTGTCATATAATGTTCTTTTTATGTGTTTAATGCAATTTAAATTTCATTTGGACAATGTTTTTTTATAAATCTCAATCAATCAATTAATTAATCAAATAAATAAATTTAATTTATTGGATATTTAAAAAAATAAAAAATACTTTATAACATGTATTGAAAATCAAATTTTCATTTATTATCTCCTTATATAGTTATCCCATTTACACCTTACCATTGCGAGTCCTTCTAGCACGAACACCTTCACGTAACAGATCTAAAACTTGAACTGTAGTTTCCCAACTAATGCATGCATCTGTTATTGATTGACCATAAGTAAGATTTGCACCTCCATCTGGTGGAAGGTCTTGACGTCCTATATAATTGTTATTATTATTATTGGATTATTATAATCATAACCATAACTATAAATAAAAATAAAAATATTTAATGCTACCTTCTACCAAATTACTTTCAATCATTACACCCATTATATTGAATCCTGTAGGCGAAGTTTTAAGTTGTTCAACCTACAAAAATTAATCAAATAGATTAATTAATTCACAATCACAAGAGAATATTCATTCATCATTCAATACTCACAATATCTTTAACCACATCAACTTGTTTACTAAAAACCTTTCGACTATTACCATGACTACAATCAATCATTATACGTGCAGTGAGCTTTGCAGCTTCTAATTTTGATACAGCATGTTTTACATTTTCTGCTGAATAATTAGGTTCATGTGTACCACCTCTTAAAACTAAATGACAAGAATCATTTCCCTAATTTATTTATATTTTTGTATGTTTGGTATTTAGTGAATAATTTATATTTTATCAATTTCTTTATTTTTATTGTATAACTTACTTCTGTTTCCACTATTGCACTTAATCCCTGCTTTGTAACCGATAAGAAGTTATGTTTAGCACCAGCAGCTTTGATAGCATCAACAGCTACATCAATACTTCCATTAGTACCTATATATTGTCAAAAGAATTAATACTACATATGCATGCATGCTCTCTCTTTCTCTCACATTTATATACATTTATATTTACCATTTTTGAAGCCAACAGGTACAGATAAACCTGAAGCCAATTCACGATGTACTTGTGATTCAGTAGTTCTTGCACCAATAGCACCCCAAGCAACCAAATCTGCAATGTATTGTGGTGTGATTGTATCAAGAAATTCACACCCACATGGAACTCCCAATTGATTCTATTTAAATTTTAAGTTGTTTTAAAATAAATAAAATAAGTAATGATTTTCTCAAAAGAGTTGTGTCTACTTACTATATCTAATAATAAATTACGTGCAACTCGTAAACCTTGATTTATTTGAAAACTAAGAAATTTGTATTAATATCACACTTATATACATCACATATAAATGTGACCTACAATTATTATAATAGCCACCTATTGTTTAATTTAGGATCATTTATCAGCCCTTTCCACCCCACTGTAGTTCTTGGTTTTTCGAAATAAACTCGCATTATGATGGCTAAGTCACTACTTGCACCAGCTGAATACTTACTTAATCTTTCAGCTAAATTTATGATGATTGTAATAAATAAGTAATAAATGCTTCTATACATATAATGCTACATAAACAAGTTTATTTTTGATATATTTTTACCATATTCGAGAGCAGCAGGAACACTATGAACTGAACAAGGACCAACTATTACAAGAAGTCGGTCATCCTGACCTTTTATAATGCTTTCAGCACTAGAACGACCAAGTATAACACTTTGCGCTGCTTGGAAGGTAAGTGGAAAGTCTTCCATTAAAATTTGAGGCTGAATTAATGGCTTTACATGTTTGATCCGTTTATCATCAAGTTCATTTAGTGCTGGTAGATTCAAGAAGGAATTATTATTTAAGATGATGTTAATATTATTATAATAATAATGTAAAACTGATAATTTTCGGATAAATACCGTCACGAATGCGAATTTCTGACATTTTATTTATTTAAGAGAAAATTTATTTTAAGGAATGAATGGTGGCGAAAAAGATTATCGTGATAAACGGAAAAGATCGACATATTAAATATTAAATTTTTCATCAACAAAATTAATTATCTTATTGCTAACGTATTTTCCAATTATCATGATTACAAATAAGACTTCATTATTTGATAATTACCAAAGCAGAGAAATATTTGAGTTAAGTAGAAGTTTAAAGGAGGCTGGTGAAAATGTGACAATAAATCAAAAAGGATTAATCCAGTCTTCAAAACGTGTAATTATAAAGAAAATATTGGAAGCAATGGCTAATGGTATTGACGTATCATCGTTATTTGGTGAAGTTGTGAAGGTCAGCAATTAAAAACTTGTACGCGTATTTAATTTAATTACTTTAATTGCTAATAATAAAATGTTTAAAGGTCGCATCAACAAAAGATTTGGTTTTAAAGAAATTATCATATATTTATATTTCAACACAAGCAGAGAAAAATAGTGATTTAGCGATTTTAGCAATAAATACTTTTCAAAAAGATCTTCAAGATGATAATTTTTTAGTCAGAGGATTAGCATTAAGAACATTATGTTCACTAAGGTATAATAATAATAGTAATTGTTGCATTATATCTGTTCTAATTATAATCTAGTTAACATTTATATTTTACAATAGAATACTTGACTATTTACCTTATATGATGGATTCAATAACGTCATCATTATCAGATATTAATCCATATGTTCGTAAAACAGCTGCAATGTCATGTATTAAACTGTTTCGTTTTTCACCAAAACATCTATTAGGTAAAGGATAAATTATACTGTAATATTTATAACATAACATAGCATATTATAAAATAGTTTATAATTATTGAATATTAACATTTTTTAGATACACAATTGCTTGATCAATTATATTATAACATTTTAAATGATAAAGATATTGAAGTTGCTGGAAATAGTTTGATAGCATTAAATGAAATATTAATATTAGGAAATAAAAAAAGTGGCATTAATGGAGAATTAAAGATTAATAAAAGCCTTATTTATTATTTATTAAAAAGAATTGATGAGTTCAATGAATGGCACCAAACTTTTATAATTAATAATATTATCACTAAATATAATCTGGTTAATGAGGATGAAATATTTAATATTTTGGTAAGTGAACAACAAAGATTTATTTAGGATTTTTTGTGGTTAACAATAGTCTATTTACAAAAATTTATCAATTGTTAGAATTTATTGGATGACAAATTAAAACATAATAATTGTGGATTAAGATTAGCAACAATGAATTTATTTTTAAATTTAACAAAAGATTTAAATGATATTCATGAAGATGTTTATAAAAGATTAAAAGGTAATTAATCAATGATGATGATGAATTAAACTATTATTATCATATAATTAATTATTGATATCATTGATGATGGATTTTTTCTATTAGATCAATTGGTTTCAATATTTCTATTATCAACCAATTCGGAAATAATTTATTCAACATTGGAACATTTGATTTTATTAATAAATTTATCAAATGCTAAGAATTTTAAGAATTTATTATTAGAAAATGATTATAAACATTTTTATATAAGGTAAAAAAATTTATTAATGTGTTTCACTCTGATAATTATTTATTTATATAGTGTTTGTTTTTTTTCGCCATTTAGAATTAAAGAATCCTCATTTATAATTACGAAAAAATTGGAAATATTTGAATTGATTGCAAATGAAAAAAATGCCAAAGATATTATTGATGAAATAATTAGTTATATCACAATATCAAATGATTTAATGGTGAAAGGAATGTTGGAAACGATTGGAAACATAAGTTTAAAAGTTGAAAATATTCAAGATTATACTTTGGAATTATTTATTAAATTTTTAGAAACTGAAATTGATATTATTATTTATTATATTATAATCATTATTGAAGGTAATGGTTATTATTGCTAATGGTTAATTTATTTATTTATTGATGTTATTATTAATAATATTAACTTATAATTTTTGTTAGAATTTTTGTATAAAATTCCAAGAAAAGTTGAAAAAAAATTCAAACCAACATTGCTGAAATTATTTAATTCAATAAACAATTTCTTTAAAAAACCAATTTCATTTAATACTACAACTTCATCATCATATACTTCTAGTACAACTCATAAGGTTATTTCCAAGTCTAAACTGTTAATATCTTATTTAAATATATTAACAACAATAGGATTAGATTTAGATGAATCACCATATATATTGGAGTATATAATAGATAACTTTCCTAATTACAACAACAATAATAGTAATAACAATATCAACAATATTAATGGATTAAATAAAGAATTAAAATTAAAATTAATTGATTTCAATGTAAAACTATTTTTAGTTAGACCAAATGAATGCAAAAATAATTTAATCAAATTGTATAAAATAATTTTTAATAATAATGAAGAAAATGATGGCAATAATAATGATAACTGTAGAGATGGTGTTAATAGTCATGATGATGACGATGACAATGGTGATAGAGAAGTTAAAGAAAGATATTTATTTATTTATAAATTATTAAAATTTAATATTGAATTGGTAAGTTTTTAAAATTATTCATAAATCATAAATAAATAAATAAATAAATAAAATATATTTATTTTATTTTATTAGGCAAAGAAAATATTTGTTCAAAACGATATCAAATCAATTAAAAATACTAATAAATTAAAAAATGTAAGAATCATATTTATTTTAACTTAATACATATTATACCATTATTAAACCATCTAAAAAAATTACCAGATTAATTTGATTGAAGAATTTAATTCTTTATCTGTACTGTATGGAAAACCTTCAAGTCAATTCATTAATACAAATTCACTAGAACAAAAAGAAACGATAATTCAATACAATGATGATGACAATAACAATAATGATAATAATAAGCAATTTATAAATGTATTTGAATATGATATTAATGTACTAATCATCACCATGATATTTATTCACAATCTCTATTTATAATATTTATAAATGGTATTATTTGTTTTTTATTTATTTTTTCTAATTATAATTATAATTATATTTTTTAGTTATTATCTTATGATAAAAACGAAAAGGAAGAAGTAAACAGTGAAAATCAAAATTTCAATATGGAATTAATAAATACAATAATAATTGAACCAAAGAAATTTAAATTAAACTGGGAAAATTTCAAATTAAAGTAAGTCGTATATTCAAATGATCATGTAATAAAAATATTATAATATTAATTAAATTTCCTTATTTATTTGTTTTTTTAAAAAAAATATAGTAATGAATTTTCTATACCAATTGTAAATCAACAAATTTTACAAAACTCAACGATCCAAGATGTTGAATCAATTCTTGAAGATAATTTATTTGTTATAATTGCTTCTGGTGTTAGTGGAAATAATGGTGATATTTGGAAATTGTTTTTTTACGGAATTGAGGTAATGTGTGTATAAGTATATATATATATTTTTTTTAAAAAAATAAATGATTGACCGATTTTTTCCCTCCAAAAAAAAAAAAAATAGAAATTTTCAAAAACAATCTTATTGGGAGAATTAAAGATATTATTAAATGATCAAATGATCAATTGTTTATTAAAGATTGGTAATGATTCAACAACTATAGCCAACACTACACCACAACCTGCTACTCTTCCTACCACTACTAAAAATGATTATGACAGATTAAATTTATGTTTGAAATTATTTAAAGAAAAAATTATCAAGATTTGTAATGATATGTTTAATAATAACAATTTAATAATTTAATTAATAAAATAATAATAACAATAAATTATTTGGTTACTTGTTTATCAATGATAACAAAGCACTTGTTATGCAAAAATTCTTTAATAACTTCAAAATATCCTGGTTGACTAAATGTATCATTATGATCACCATTTTCAAATTCTTTAAAAATTTTATTGTCATCATTATTAGCATTAGCGGAAGTAATGGAAGAAACATTATTTGTTGTTGTTCTCGCCAATCCAAATAATTCTTTCATATGATAGGATGGAACTATTTGGTCTTTATTACCAGATAAAAACAACATTGGAAAATTTTTTTGGATTGTTAAAATTTTTTCATCGGATCTCCATGTTTCTGTACATAAAAAGGATAAACATTTAAACGTTGGAAATATTTCTGGCAGTAATTTGGGCTACAAAATAAACGTGTAATTAATGAGTTAATCAATAATATAATAATACTTGTTATTTGTTACATCATTATACATAAAGATTAACTTACTATACTAAGAAATGTATTTTCTAAAATCAATGCATCAATCTTTTTTTCTCCATTTCTTGAAATTAAATCAATTGCTACTGATCCACCAAGTGATTGTCCGTATATTATTAATTTAGTATTTTTTAATATTTCATCTTCTTTTATATAATCTAAAATTTTCTAAAAAATGAGGCAGAAGAAAAATAAATAATTCAATAAAAAAATGGTTTAAATGACCTTTCCTTTGATTGCTTATTAACATTATTAATAGTAATGGCAACAATAACCTGGGCATCTAAACAAATTCCTTTCTCTGATGGTGATCCTTCGCTTCTGCCATATCTGTATTAATTAATTATGCATAAAAATAATCAATACTGTTTTATAATAATAATATATTATAAATAATATCAACTCACCCTCTATAAGAAAGTAATACAACATTACATTTGAAATCTTTATAAAATCTTTCAGCAATTGATAATCTATGACCCTAATATATATAATTATTATATTTTGTACATTATATCTATTGATATTATCAAAGATTCGCTAATATGTATAATATGTTACCATATTTCCACCATTTCCCTAATAATAATGGAAAATAATATTAAAGGTTTTTTTTTGAACAGAAAACCAAACCAAAATAAAATAGAGGAAAAAAAACTTACATGAAACATTAAAATAGTAGGTCGATTACTTGCTTCTTCTTCGCCTAATCTTTTACACACGAAAGCTCGTATTTTTACATTATCTTCCGTGACTAATGTTACTTGAATATAGTTTATGCCAAATTCAGATGGTTTAGCTACCTATTTATATAAGTAACATATACCATAAATAAACACACATATACACAGTTTATTTTTTTATTTTTCGGGAAAAAATGTATTTTTTTTTTACATGTTTTCTAGATCCTACAGGCGAATCCGGGTTATAAATGGCTTTACTTTGTAATGAATAAAATGCTCCTATACCGCTAGCTAACATTGTTATACCACCAATAATTAAAGGCACAGTAATATATTTTCGAGATGGCATTACTAAATAAATCTAATATATACTTATTCAGTAACTATTTATTTAACTCCTTTAAATATAAAAGGGGTGGATATACATACAGTCATACCTCTGTATGTATAATAATAACAATGATAAGAATTCCTTTTGCAATTTGATAATAATTTTCCCCCCATAAAATATAGGAAATGTCACACGTAACATAATTCGAAATAAAAACAAGGTTAGTGGGTGGGCTTAGAAAGGAAATATGTATTTACGCTCAAAATCATATAAATGAAGGGATTCGAATTGAAAATAAACAAGTATTCATGTAGATAATGCAAGTTCTGATTTTTTAAGTGATGGCGAAATTCCTCAAATTTTACATTACAATACCTTCCTGCAGCTAATAAACGCAGGAATTATCAAGTCATTTAAAGCCAAATATAAGCATTTATTTTGCCAGTATATTTTGAGACAATTTGAAAGTGGTGCGGATTGATTTTTTTAGGCCCAAGCTCAATTTGAAACAAGCTATTGATTATGTTGCTCGATCTTGGTCTGATGTAACAATTATAACAATCAAAACTTTGAAGTGACAAGACAGGTAGGTATTCTTTCTGCTTGCAAACAAATCCGGTGGTGATGAATAAAGACAATGAGTCTCTAAATCCATTTAATGATTTATTAACTAATGAACAATTAAGTATTGGCTCATCAAGTTGAAAAATTCACAAGTAATTATTGAAATAGTTTTAGAAGATGCATAAATTGAAGCTGGTAGTAATGTTACAGATTCTAATGAAGACAATGAAGAACCATCATTGCCAATAGTTGCTATTAAGGAAGCTCATGAAGTTTTAAAGAGAGTATTGGGACCAGGATGAAATAAATATGGGGCATGCTGCAACAAAACCAGACAAAGTGAACATTGGTATTACCAAGAATTTCAAGGATCAATATTGTTTTTTATAGTGTTTGTATTCATGGTATTCAAATATCAATCACATGAATGATATTCGAATATTGTCCGAACAATTTTGAATGAATATAAACACTACTCATGAGGAGCTTTAAACCAGTCATACATTGTTTTTCACCATGCAACTATCTAGTAGCATGTGAAAATGTGCAAATAAACTTAAAATTTGTGTGATATGTCATTCCAAGATTCATTCATATACAAGGATTTGCTTTTAATTGAAATCAAAATAAAATTATTTAGAAAGCTTTACAAGAAATGATCAATTTCATTACGTTTATTAAAAATTATAAAAAAATATTTTGCTGATAATTAATCTAAGATAAAAATGAAAAAGTCTATTGTGAAAATTTGCAATCAAAATAATTATATTATTACCTTTATAATTTGTTAATAAAAATGATAAAATAAAAAAAGCTGTCCTTTTTTAAGAACTCTGCAAGATTAAATTTATACAAATTATGTTAAAGAAATATGTCAAATATTTCATTGTTTACAAGCAAATTTAATATTAAATTAATAATATCTACAAGTCAACTTCAAATAATTTTTTTATTTGTATTTTCATTGATCTCCATTTCAATGAAATGCCTCTATTTTTTCGTAATATACCCATTTCTTGAAGTTTGATGCAATTTATTTTTTTACTGAAAATGTGATCTAAGAGGATTGTTAGTTCTTGCTTAGTCCACCTTCTGACATAATGAAAAGTTAATCCTTGTACATCATCCTCCAGTATACTTAGCTCGCTTCCTTGATCTTCTTCATTATCATTAGTGATGTTAGCCATTTAAAAATCCTTAGCCGGCTAAGCCGTTTACTACCTAAATTGGTAATTTTATTTCTATAACAAGAAAGTAATGCAGAAATCTATTACCAAATTTAGAAATTATGCATGCAGATTATTAGCCGGCTAACATCACTAATTATCATCGTCATCATTGTTGATTATTACTGATTCAGTTTCGACAATAGTGGATGTTGTTGTAGCTGTTGATTCATCTTGATTGTCAAGAGGTTGTTCTCCAGATGTAGTGGTGGTGGTTGATGTTGATGATGTTGATGATGTTGATGATGTTGATGATGATAATTCTCCTTGAATTATTGGGACAATTTTTTCTGCTTCTAAATATGCAGTTTTTGATGACAATGATGTTTTTGATGATGACGATGATGTTTCTGATAATGACGATGATTCTGATGATGATATTCCTTTGTACATTTCTTGGATTAGCAATGAAAGGTTCAGTGGGTTTAAAGGCGTGTGTATTTTTGAAATATCGACGTTTTGTAACAATTTCACAAGTTTCGGGGGATCAATGGTTTGTCCTAGTATCACTGTTTCCTCCACTGTTATTCCTAAAGACGTGCCAGTGTCACTAAAAGTTATAAGTTAAAAAAGTTGTATGTAAATTCATTAATTAAAACTAGAGTGACGACGAGTGGCGGGCAATAACCACCACCACCATCCTTAAAACACTTACCCTCTTTCAAATTCTTCTTCATTTTCTCTTCTTCTTTTATTTCGAGACATTTTTTTTTTTAAAAATTAAAAAGATAATTGATTGACGCGTACACATTAATTATTTATTCTATTGGTTTTTTTTTTTTTGGTAGGACAAACGCGAATTGATTGATTTTTTTTTTTTTTTTTTGGAACAATTTATTTATTTTTTGACAGAGCCCAAAGGTGACAAAACGTGAGTGTTGTTGTTTTGTTGGCCTGGGTCTCCTAAAGAATACGTGTTAATAACTAACCAGAGGTACTTTTTTTTTATTTGTATTGATTGATATTTTTATTTTAGCTTATAAATATTTTAATTGGAATCAAAACGCGGAGCAGATCTTGCTGGGTAATTACAAGATTTTCATT